GGCTACTCAAATATTTTACGTTTTTGATACTAAATTAACTTCTGAAGTATAATTTTTTATTGTTTTTATATTTTTCAATATATTTATTTTGTTTGTACAAAATAAAAAAATAATTTTTAACGATACAATAGTCTTCGTTAGGCTTAACATCGACGAAAATTCAACGTGAAGCGACACGCAACGGAGAGAAATTTCAACATGGGATAAATTAATATATTATTTCGTACATGATTCGTTATCCGAAAAATAAGTTATCCGAACCACCCCAGTCCCCAATTGATTTGGATAAACGACGCTCTACTGTATTCAAAATAAAATGGCAAATATAATTATGTAGATTCTGAGAACAATATATAACACAATACAGTAACTGAAACATGTAAAGAATCTCAAATATCTAGGAGATATCTCATGAGTAAATTCAAACAGCTATCATTGAGCAGAGCAATTCAATTTAATGCAGATATACAAAGAACAGGTATGCTATATATCATGATAAAATCCATTTCAAGGTGACATATTAACAAAAAATACTTCTGAAAAAGTGATAAGAGTAGTTTCTATGAGAAATTTTTGGTTATGTAATTGAATTTATTAGACTTGGTTAATATCAGAATGATATAAGACTATCTGTCTGATTTTGAGGAGTGTTTTTTGGTAATATATTTGATTTGGGATGTTCTTATGAATGGAAGTTGTTACATGGGTAGGCTGAAAAGTAATGCACACATGCTTGTAGAACACAAACAAAAACAAATAACAAGATTTGGCAAAAAGTACATTAAAGTACAATTCTTAAGCTTCAAAATCATATATTTATTTTTCAACATAGTCACCGTTAAGGCTAACACATTTCTCCCAACGTGTAACAAGTTTTTTCATTCTGTCACTGAAAAATTCTTCCGACTTTTCTTGAATCCAGGACTTGACAGCTGCCTTCACCTCATCGTCCAAGGTGTAATGATTACCCTTGAGGTCTCTCCTGAGTAAAGGAAAAAAATAAAAATTGCAAGGCACAAGATTAGGGGAATAAGGAGGGTGTGCAATTGGTTCAAACTTCAGGTTTTGCAGTTGCACGTGAGGTGTGTGGATGAGCATTGTCATGTTCCAAGGTTATTGGTGCCAGGCTGCCTCTAACATGACAAACTCAACATCGGAGGTGTTTTACAGTCTGTATGTACTGAGAAGAATTAAACATTGCAACGAGGGGTAACGGTAATCGTCTGTAGCAGTGATCAGATGTCCGCTGCATGTTTCATCAACAATTATGGCTTTTCCAGGCTCGTAACTATGAAATTTTATTATCCATCAATTTACAGTAGACCTATCAACAGCATTGTCATCAGAAACAGCCTTTAAACAACGATGAATCTCAGTAGGAGTCACTTTTTCAGCAGTTAAAAATTCGATAACAGCACCAGGGCCGGATCATCGCATAGACAAATGAGACAAATGTCTAGGGCCCGGTTTTTAGAAGGGCCCAGTCAAACTGTCTATTTTGAAAAGATTTGTAAATAAGATAGTTTACTTTTCTGTTGGACAACAGTATATAATAAACAAAAATATATTGCTTTTTATATGGTTATTGTGAATTCTAAAATCTAAAGAAAATGTACGTGGGTTGTTCAAAAAGTTCCCGAACTTTTTGAATAGCGTGCCTCCAGGTGGTTATTTTTTAATTCGCCTGGAGGCGTTGTGTCCGCGGAAACCTCCCGAGTAACCTCCTTCAACCCGTTTGTTGATATCTTGTTTTGGTGATTAGTTACGGCCGTTTATGTGAAGTGGTGTTTGTGGGGTTCGGCGAAAAATCGGACCCGCGGAAATCAGCTCTGAAAGAACAGTGTTGTTCTGTGAAATTCTGTGTGAAACTCGAAAAATCCTTCACGGAAAATTCCCACGGGTGGGTGAAACAGCCCCCCCGCCCCAAAAAGCTCGACAAGTTCACTCAAATGTTAAGGTGATGTTGACTGTTTTTTTTCCGTGCAAAGGGGGTTGTGCATCATGAATACCTACCTACAGGCCAGACAATCAACACGGAGTACTACCTGGTGTTATGAATCGCCTAAGAGACAAAATCAGGCGAAAACGGCCCAAACTTTGGAGGAGCGACTAGTGGTTCTTTCACCACGACAACGCGCCGGCTCATTTATCCCTCAGAACACATGAGTTTTTGGCCAAAAACAAGACCGCTGTGCTTCCCTACCCACCCTACTCACCTGACCTGGTCCCATGCGACTTTTTCCCATTCTCCAACAAACTAAAAAACGCGCTCAAAGGAAAAACATTTGCCATCATTCCAGAGATAGAAAAAAAAATGACGGAGGAGCTTATGAGCATTCCGGAAAAAGCGTTCCAGGACTGTTTCAAAAAGTGGAAGTGTATATGCTGCGGAAGAGATTACTTTGAAGGGAAACCCGACAAATAAATTGTATGTGAAGTATTTTTTTCCTTTTTGTAATAAATAAAGTTCGGGAACTTTTTGAACAACCCTCGTATTCTTATGTTTCTTCTTATTGAAAGTAAAACTCCCAATAATTTAGAATATTCTTTATAGCGATAAGAATAATATTAACTATATGTATTCTTAAATCCTGTGAAATATTGTTAAATAATTTTGCTTTTATTTTTTTATAAAGCAGCTGCAGTGTCCATATGCAATTTAATAAAAATAATAGTAACAAGATTTATTAATTGAAAGAGCCGGGAGGGGACCCAGAAGAAAAAAATGTCTAGGGCCCCAAAGTGGGTTAATCTGGCCCTGACGCTGTTTAACTCGCGTTGACATAGCACTAGAACACGTCTCCATATTTCTACTTTTCAAATATACTGAATGAACACAACAACCTCAAACTGCACATGTGCATAGAGGGGATATGTTAATTCCATATGCCACTTGGCGCGCTTCTGAAAATCATTTTGTCCGTGCTCTACAAGCATGTGTGCATTACTTTTCAGCCTACCCTTGTATGTTTGAGAATTCAATAAAGTAAGTTTTCAGAATCTGTGAAAAACTTGGAAATAATAGATTTCCAAGTTCTATAAATACTAATAACTAAATAAATACTAAAGACTAATATATTTAAACTGTAAAATATTTAGTTTTTATAAAACTAAATATTTTACAACTTAAGAGAGTTTATCATTAAAAAAGCAGTTTAATATATTTAGTATCAATGGATTAAAATGAAAAAAAAAAAAATACCTTCATCCGCAAATGGATTAAATAATACAGAACGATATTCTAACTGAATGCTTTTTACTTTACTTTCAAATTCTTCAATTGCTGAATGTATTTGTTCAGCCTAAAATTTCAAATAAATAAAATTATTAATTAAATTATCATTATTTTTTCATTATATAAATATATTTTTAATTTAATAAATTTTAATTTTATCAAANAATTTATTTAAAGAAAAAAATCTTACTTTAGTTAAAAAATTTGTTATTAAAGATTCTTGTAATCCATCCACATTGTGTGAAGTTTGATCTTGTCGTTTAAGATACTGAAATTGTAAAAAGTATTAGTTCAAAATTATATTAGCACAGTAAAACTTATTCTAATTAAAACTATTTTTTTCTAATATAAATATTTTGAAATAATATTATTTCAGAAGTAGACAGTCTGAAATAATCAAATGATGTGTAACGATACCACTTATTCTCAAGTAATGACTTCAAGTGACAAAATGATATGAAACAATAACAACTGGTTAATGTTATGATTTCATAATTTAAATATGCATAAACATTTTAAATATACAGTGAAATCTGCTTACTGTCGTCACTTTGGGATTTGCCGGTACTGATAAAAACTAATAACATTAAGATTAACAACATTAAGCAAGCTAAGTAAACAAGACTGCAATTTTAATATAATATTTAAATTGCAGTCTTATTTACTACATTAATATAGCGTTAACAGAATACATTTATATAAGTAATAAGACCTAATTACATTGGGGTGAGGCCAGGATTATCATTCCAAAGAAAAGGAATGCTCCAACAAGAATAGTCAAAGAACTCACAATAGCCAAAGAGGAAGATCTCGTCATTAACAAAAGGTGGGAGGAACTGGGACTTGACCCAAGGAGCAGGATGCTAATAGACTCCAACAGGCCAGATAAAGAAATGCAAATAAATTTTGAATGAATGCAGAGTGTATGAAAAACTCTTTTAACCATTAAGATGTGTTAACATTACCATATTATTATATAAATTTATGCATTGTATTGTGCAATTAAAGCTTATTGTAAAGTTTTTCAAAACTGTAGTCATTAAGTTAATTCAAAGACCAATTAATGATCATCATAAGTTATAATGGAGTTCGAAACTTAAAAGTTTGTAAGATTTAAATGTTTGAAAAATTAGTTATGTAAACTGTTTCAAAGTTTGAAAGCATAAATCCATAATGTTCTAATGTGAAATTTGTTTTTAATTTCAAAATTTTCAACTGGAAATTTGCTTTGGACTGTAGAATGTTATACTGGAAATTCCGTTGATTTGGTTGTTCAATTTAATGAATTTAAGAAGGTACCTAATGATGAACTGATCTGGCTTGAAATAAAAAAAGACCTTTGTACATGAATTAATGTTTCTCATTAATAAGTTAAAATGCTGGTTAAGATTTATAACAATTGCACCTTATCAGCCACATGTTGAGGCTGATAGACATATTTAAAATGTCTTTTCATGCTGTTTACCTGAAGATAATAAGAAAACCAAAATTATAATTACAATAAGAAAAGCTTTATAAAACTCTATAAAGTTTTATTTGTTTAGGGAAAAGCTAATTTTGATAAAACATTAAATGACTGACAGCAATATCTGTGATTACCAAGAAGATTCTACAGTATTAAAGTGTTGTCAAATTGTTACTTTTTTAACTTAAATATACTAAATCAATTATTCTTGCTGAATTCAAAAACTTAAAAGCTCAAAATCAAATTGAAAGTGCCAATTAATTAAAATAGCAGTCTTACTGAAATTTAAATGTTTAATAATGTTTCTACAAATTTAGCTTATCGTTACCAAAATTCATCGAAAAAAGCAGAGTAGTTAAATTTACAAAATATTTTAGATAATTTGACAATTTGTGTCATTTCTGTCATTTAATACTTCCAATAATTTCTTTTATAACTTATATAAAATGGATGATTGCAGGAGTCTCGTTATTTTATATTACTTCCTGCCAATTGACATCAATTCGTATCATCTGATACGATTGGCAAATGATTTCAAATGATATTTTTTTTTACTTAGATGTATTATTACCATTTTTTTAAACTATAAATAAATGATTTTACGAAAATATTCTACTGTTTTTGTTAAGTACGTCATATTTGATTTTTCTGAGTTTAAAGAAAATACAGCTGTAAATATTTGTGAAGAAAAAATTATATTCTATATATAATTTTTTTTACATTATTTATATACTGCTATATATATATATACATGCACACGTGTGTGCAACAATTATAAGCATAATAATTCCACATTAATAATAATAAAAATATCATTCTACTTTTATAATATGGAAGATTAACATGGATTAACATATTTACATATAAATTAACATGGAATGATATGGATATTCTTCATAACAATTCCTCTTACTTAATATTAACTGTAAACTATTACTTTTTACTATTTACGATTCACCATTACTTAAAACATTTACAGTGGTGCCTCGTATAATGTACGCCTCGAATAACGAATGCTGCAAACAACGAACTTTCTGATTGGCCATTACGTGACTCGAGCAACAGACTGGCTGCAAACAACGGACTTTCTGTTCGGCAGTTACGTGAGGCGAAAAACGGTCTTTCTGCGAACAGGTGTGAATGATTTTTCCACTCTTTTGCCATTGCCAATGACAATCTGCTATTTTTATAATATATTAGTATTATTAGAATATATTATTAGTATATCTGAAGTACAGAGCTCCCATTGAGATTCAGCTTGCTCCCTTGTTTATTAAGTACATCACCTCAGTGCAGGGTATTTACATTTATTCAAGTGTTGTGCAAATCATGGCTTCTAAAAAAACAGAAAGGTGATTTCAATTGAAACAAAGCAAGACATCATCAGAAGGAGTGAAAGTTGACAAAAACTTCCTTGTCAAATGGGGAGAGGTTAAGGAGTTTACCAACACTCATTATCCAAACAGAGCTGAGGCCAATAGGATCAATGATCTCTACGACAGGTATTGAAGAAAAGAGAGAAACAGACCACCTTGGACATATTTTTCAAGAAGCAAGCTGCCAAAAAACAAAGGATGGAACAAGATTAGATGACCCTGCAAGCTCCAGTAGTCTCTCCTGAATCTGACTCTGATTAAAAAACAATAAAAAGAGACCTGCTGCAATGTGTAAAAAGTCGGTATCTGTATGAATGTGTGAAGAAAGTGTTCCTCCATGTCCTCCTCATAACATCTGACTACCTGGCATAATTGGTGACTGCTCAATTTTCATTTTTTTTTATGGTACAGTACAGTTATTTTATGCTGTGGAATGAATTATATGTTTTAACATGTATTTCTATGGGAAAATGTGTTTCATATAACAGACTTTTCACTTAACGGATATGCACCTGGAACGGATTAGGTATGTTATACAAGGCACCACTGTATTTTTAAAAATGAAACACTAAACACAATGTAAATAAGTCAAATAACAATATACTTTAGTCATTTTAATAACAAGTTTTTTGTTATCATGATGACATGTTAAAAGTGTAAATTTTTGAAAAGTAATAACCAAATTCTTGGGAGTTCTAGCATGGATTTGTTTCATGGTCCTAATTTTTCAATAAATAAAACCTAGAGGTTTTATTTATTAAAAACTAGATAATAGTAGTCTGTCCATACCCTGTACAAGAAAGAAAATCTCATTCCTTATAGGTACACAAGTTTTCTCATTTAGGCAACCAAGTCCACCATCAGGAGACACTCCTCATGATGGATTTGGCTGCCCAAAAGTACTTGAGAAACACTTTATTATTAAAGTGAACTCCAATTAAGCAGATTATTGTTTATTATATTTTTTAAAGAACTTAGCATTGTTTTTCATTAAGTAAAAAAAATCATTCTGCAACTTTAAAAAAATATTCTCATTCCAAATTCATATAAACAAATGTTCTTTTGGAATTGTTCAGAATTAAAAACTATTTAGGTGAATATAAAAATATATGTATATATAATTTTGGGAGTCTTCTTAAATCATTTATAGAATATAAAAATATTTACTACAAAATAAATATTTTGAACATTCATTAATGCTCCAACATATCAAAAGTTACTTTGTTGGAGTGAAACATAGTAACAAGTATTAGTTTCCAAGAGCTTTCAGACTTCTTCAGTCTATCACATTTGTTTCATGAGTTTATCCTCCAATGATGGACTAAGAGGAAGGTCAAAAGATTTTAGGAACTAATATTTGTTTTGCTTTTTAATTCAATAAAACAGTTTTTGTTGTTTTTGCACAATAATTTTGGTTAGTAAATCTAACTCTGTTATTAGTTTCTAATTATTAACTAATATGTAAAAATTTTAATACTTAAAGAGTAAAAGCTATTTAAAAATCTCAGTTGATAAAGGATTAGTTTATTCTAATTTTTTAGTCAATTAGAGAATATATTGTTTTGATCTCTAATATATCAAAATATATTGAGTCTGGGTGTATGTTAATCGAATTAAGGACTTTACAATTCTACTTAAAATAAAATGATGGTTTTAATAACAAATAGTAAATCCTAAACTTATTACTACATTACTAACTAATCCGAATTAAATCTACATACAATGATTTACATGATGATAAACACGTGCTGCCACAACCTTCCCTTGTTCGATCTACCTCCAAATCTCCGATCATCAGACTGTGAAGCCAAACCAAGAAAAAAGTCCTTCTACACATGAGAAGGTCCCATTTATACTCCTTCTTCACGTGACACTGTTCTTGACCAGTTAGTCTACACCAGTTGGCGTAGCAATCAAAGTGGTACAACATAGTCTTCCACAGACAATGATTCAAAAAGTAGGTCCCGACATGTGGTAATTTATATACACAAATTACATCAATATCTAAGCATACATAAACAACAATACTAAAGTAGTGCAGCATTACAATATAAACTGTATGTATACAGGTATCCCCTGTACAACATGGTTTCCGGTTTTGCTCTAACATGTTTTGAGAATTTAGGAAATCGTCCGTACAAAATTTCACAACTCTTAAGTACAAACTCCATTATTCAATATTTTCTTTTATTTAAGTGATCATGCATGTTGTCCAAATTTGCCCATGAATTTGGACAAAAATTTCAATATTTTAGAATGTTGAAATTTTTAATGTTTTTTGTGCCTTTAGGTTTACTTTAATTAAACTGGTGGTGTAATTTTTTTTTTCCTTCCTTTTCCTAGCTTTCCTATCAACTGGTTGTCATTAGTAAAATTTATTTAAACATTTTTAGGTGTTATTAAGCTTTTTTAACTGCAGATAAGCAATCATTTGTAAAAATGATGAACAAATTATGGTGGTATCTTGGTATTGAACTGTTACAATTCGAATAATTCAATATTCAAACACAAATTCTGGAAAAAGTCACATGGTTCTTGACTGAACAAATGCTGCCTGCTAGATCAAATTTTTGATTAATTTAATAATATATTTTTATTTCATCATCCATTAAAAATTTTTTATGATAAAAATAAAAAATATGAAAATGTTGCTGATATTTCTGATCAAGATCAACAAAAAACCTCAGATGACAATATTTTGTAAAAAGAAAACACTTTCATTTAACTGATATTAATATTAATGCATAATACAGTATTTTAATTGTGATTGTTAGTTAATAATTGAATGGAAAATTGGAAATAAATTATTGATAGCTTTAATAAACATATTTCTCTTAGTAAAGGAAAAAAATAGTATAGTAATATCCCAAGTTACATAAGTAATGTGGACCATAGACTTTTACATAACAAACTATTAGGCAACCGAAAAAGTTCTGTCGTTTTTTGTGAAACTACAAAGTTTAAAGAATGTTACATGCAATACACAATAGATGGCACTAAAATTCCAGCAATAGGTTAATCAAGATTTAATGCTGACTCATCTTGTATAAAGAGATGCGGAAAGGTTATCTCTTAATATTATAAAAATTGACTTGAAAATGAGTACTCTAAACTCTATAATTGTGTTTGTATGTTGTATTAGTTTAAACTTGGAACAAATACTGTGCAAATGGCTCAAAAAATATGCCAGGTTTTCGGACAAGGTTCTGTCAGCACTCGCACCACCCAAAGATGGTTTAGAAAATTTTCTTATGGCGATGAGTCGCTTAAAGATGCACCACAAGAAAGGTGGCCATATGTCATTAATTCATATGTCATTAATCATGTGATAATTTGTCAGTTGTTTCATCCCATGCTAAAAGAATATCACCTAAGTACTTGATGTATAGCAGCAGAAAATGGGTTATGAAAAGGGCTGAGAAAATACTAAATTCAATATTTCTCATAATTAACTCTACTAAAATTGCTGAAAGTGGTTAACCCAAGGGTATACCTTGTTTCTGAAGACAGACTAAGTTGGTAAAATGAAACTAATTATGTTCTGTTATTAATAATAGGTCATTGTATATTTTGAAAATTTGTTGCTAAGAAAATTCCTTTTTCAGCAAAAGGACATTAGCTAGCATTAATAAAAACCATTTAACACTGATAGACGATAGTTATCTTGTTTTTTAATTAGATAATACTGTATTTTGATGTGATGAATCTAGTCATTACCTTTAAAAATTATTACAAAATCATCTGAAGCAATTTAGATAGAATTTCATATTATGGTAATTGTTTATTACACCTGCTTTTATCTCTTGATATTAATTATTTGAACAAATTTCTTTTCTGTGACAAAAATATGTAAATCAGAAGCAATGTGACATTGAATACTATAGCAAGTGAAGCAAAATCTAAGAAGAATTTTGTTTGAGTTTCATGAGTGAGAAAGTTTTTTGATATAGATATGTCTGCATTATTAATGATATAAAAAACTAATTTCTATTTGAACGAACATAAAAGTGTTAATATTATTGATCTATTTGTTTGAAATTTTCATAAAAACATTATCTGTTAACTATATAAATAATGTAATTAAAATTGTTTTGAAAGTAATGCAAAATAATCAGATATGTTTTGTATTTAAATAAAAAGTATAATTGACAGAAACAATCTAAAATTTTATTAGTACTAGATCACATTGCAGCAGATCTTTTGGAAAACAAACCATTGTACCAATGGTTTGTTTTCCAAAAGAAACAAATTTTGATCACAGCTTTATCAATATATCACATCTGAATCTATTAAAGTTTCCCAAAAAGATTCATGGTTATAAAATAGTAAATATTTTCAATTAGCAAGGCATTTCCCAGTGTTTTCTTTGTTATAGTAACTATAAGCACATTCTGAACATCTACAAAACTAACTAAAATAATTTTCAAAATTTTCCTTGCTTTCTTAATTGTATCTGGAATATGTTGGTTGAGAATCTCTTTGCTTTCTATTAATTCTCATATCATTTTTAGACATGGTGTATCCAGGATTCTGAGAATATAAGTGCTGTTCAAGGCAGATTTAGAGGATCAAAGAACATGCCCTAAGTCTTTTTTCAAAGAAGTACTTGATATTCTTAATCTTACGTAATTGATGCCATGCAATATGCATTATTATATTTATGTTTATTTTTATTTTAAAGTAACAAAACTGATCAAGGAGTGCGGCACCATAAGCTCCTCTCTTGATATGCTCATTTTTGGAGATGGAAGATTTCAATAATTTTGGTAGATGATCTACTTTTCTTCCTCCTCCTAACCAATAGACAGTAAAGTATTTCTGCCTACACTAACAGGTTCAATAAATTAAAAAATGATACTAAACTGAAGATGACAAGGATTCCTTCATTGTTTTACAATCTGCTATTTATGTTGTCCATAATAGTTCGTATTATCATAGCTCCTGGTAATCAAACTTATTGTTCTCAATGAATGAAATGCTTCTATAAGCATCTGAATGTTTAACTTACATCTTTTTCATATTTTCCATTATTTTGTTTTTATTATTTCCAGTGCTTTTATACTTGGTTTTAAAATAATATATTCTTTTCAGCATGAGCATTTAATATATATTGTTATTAGTAGTGGCTAATAATAAATAATTCAGGACATTTAGACACAAATTTATATCAAGAATTATAAAAATCACATAAGTTAACTATTTATATAAATTTTAGTGCCTAGTCCTAGTTCTAACAATGACACACTAAATATATAATACTTTTTAACAAAAACTGTCATAGGGTATCAACCATAAGACAGTTATTATTAAAAAGTATGGGAATTAATGTTAAAGTTATTTATTTTGATTAATTCACATAATAATTTCTCATTACAATAGAACCATAGTGGTTACTATGCTTCTACTATAAGATTTGCAGAATATTTGATAATAATTGTGAATTATTATCTATGTGAACTGACACATGGAGACAAAAACAATATCTAATTGTAAATGAATTATATAAAATATTTTGCACATTTTTCAACTGGTTCAACCAAACTGACCGAATGACACCATTGCTATAGTGGTCACAAACTTTTATGCATGAGATTATAACATGGTTCTCTAAGTTGGAGAATATCTCAACAAATTCAGTGGATACTAGATTGGATATAATCTGTGTGGTCTGGTCGCCCACATCATTAATCATTCACTTAACAACATATCAATTTGCTTTGAGATCTTGTGAAAAAGTAAATTTATCGAGTCTGCCTTACAACAATTGAAGACCTAAAAGGCAGTTATCAGAAAACTGTTTTAATGACTTCCAACCATTAGTATTGATGATGATGGTGGTAGAAAAATATAAGAAAAATTAAAGTTCATATAGAGAATAGAAAGAGTACAGATAACTTCTGACTAATAAGCATAGATACTTTGTGACCACTATTTTTTTTACTTACTATTTGAATTTAGTGCATTTATATAATTATCTGAAAACTGAAATTGTTTGGAGACTTTATACACTCTGTATATTCTAGAAAATTATTAATTTACTAAATATATATATAATATACAAAAAGTAATATTCTTCATAAAGAGTACTTGGATATATATACTCGTAATAGATTACATCTCTACTAATTAAGTTCAAGAAATACATAAAATCTTTGGAGAAGAATATCTTGCTAAGAGTTATTCATAGACCAATCATTTATTTGGTTTGCTTAGAGATTACTATAACCTTCCTTAGCAGGATATCAGAGATAAAACCTTACACTTAAACTATTTCTACATAAACATAAGTAAATAAATTCATTCATTCTTTTAACATAACAACTTATAATTTATTTGAACAAAGTGTTTTCTACAGTTAACTTATATTTATTTACTATTTTCATTTTAAAAGATTTGTAAACATTATTAACAATTTCTGTTTTTATTATAGTGAACAAAGCAAATTTACATAAAGCATGTTTATGAATTGCAAAAAACAATAAAATTATCTTTAAATAATTAAAATTAAATGTGTTATCAAAAAATTAATGTAAATTAATCTATAGTAAAATAAATATAAAAACTCAATTAAAAATAAAATAAACAAAAAATAATAATAATAATAATTCACCTCTTGTAATTTTGGCATCAAATCTTTCACCATTTTTTAAAATTAATTAATAACTTAAAATCAAAAAATACCTAAAAAACCAAGGAACTAAAGAGTAATATCCTTTAAAATAATAAAAATATGTTTTTATTCTTCACCAATATTATGTCATCCTTTGCATATTTCTGAATTAAATGTATATTTTACACTTAAATGTAAATATTTATTTCTAAAATGAAGTATTCAAATTAAAATTTATGTCCCTTTAAACTTTGTTTACAATTTTTACAATGTGCCAAGATGGACTCATCAATTTCAAAGCTTACGTCATTAAGCCACGCCCAAATAATGGAGACAAAACCTTAATTATATTCTAATTAATTATTTTTTAAGGTTGAAATTAGTGAAATATTCCGAATTTTTGATAAATTAGTTTGTTGTTTCCATGTTTTTGTTTTGCTAAACATTTTATTAAAAAGCATCGTACCGGCCGACAACACCAATCGATACGTGCTATTTAGTCACGTGATAATTTTTCTTGCTTAATATTGGATAATTCAAATTTTGTTTAAACGTATATACTTACCAAATTGGCTTCGATCCAGAATGCTTATGTAATTTATAATTTGAAAATAATAACACTTTTATGTCAAATAGTATATATTTATCAATAAATTTTACTTAAATGTGTTAAAATGTTTTCATATTTTTAGCATAAATTTGCAATATTTATGCGAAAAATATGGTAAATGGTAAATTTTTAAATAATCTAAAAGCATATAAATTAGTATATTACTTTTTACCTCTGTGCAGTAAAAGAGTAATTTTTCGAATGACCGAGTAGTGAGACATGTAGCCCGGCATATTCCTAAAGAATTCCTGCTATTTTTCGACTTGTCTGGATTTAATTCCTGATCCCTGTTAGATTGTCACCTTAACCATTCGGCCATCCGCGTATCTACAGCATTGTTTTCGAATAAAATATTTCAATGTGCTTATTTCCTTCCCATGTGCGCTAAGAAGCCCTTTTTCCATACTCATAGCCAACTCGGACTAAATTATGGGTACGGTTGCCATACATAATCTTCATACGGTTATATAGTGAGCAGCAGAAAAAACGAGATTGCAATCCTACAAACCATTCGTTTAGCAACTTTCCCACATGAGCAAATGCCTATAATCTGGCTGCTTTACACCATACAAATATTTTCGCCGTGGAAGATATCCCGTATTCGACAATACAGCGCTTTCATTGGGAATATGCATACCTATACGAATTTATATTCGAATATACAATAACAATCTTATCGTTTTTTTCTTCTCGTGTAGTATAGAAATTTGTAATAAGATACGTAATGCGGTTATAATAAAATATCAATTTTAATTAATTCAAAGTACGTTAAAATATGAAAATAATCTTACAATATGTATTTATATTTTAGAAAATACAAGGAAAGCGGTACTTCCGCCGCTTCCAATACGGCACACCACTGTGAAATTCACCAAAATGTTGGAATAATAAGTTCAACGAAGTCATGAAAAAGTTAGGCATTTGTAGGTCGAAGTACTGTACGACTTCTGTTTGTTTGTAGGTAACGCCTACTTGTCTATTTTCGTTGACGATGCGATCATAACAGCTGAAGATGTAAAGATTAACAAATTAATGAATGATTTACAAAGAGTTCAATGTCAGGGATTTAGGAGAAGTCATTAATTAAATTGTAGCGAATGATCCAGACAGAGCCTTCATTACAAAAATTAAAGCAAAATTTGTTTATTTTTGGTCGCGTATTCCCATTTTCCTATTTACTATGTGTTAAAATGACCTCGTTTAACGCTGTTTCATTTAGCGCTTTGTCGTCTCGGAACGCATCTTAAGCGCTAAACGAGGTCTTACTGTGTATATAAAAACGAACGGTTGCATTGTGGGGGTACAAAATATCGCGTGAATGAATCAACACGATAAAATATAAGTGCTCAACCAGGGGATAAATTTATAACAAGCGTGCTTGGTGGAACAAACGCTTATTAAGGGGAATCCACTGGACTCAATAGGGACTAGACAAGACAACCATTGAATTCTATAACAATATTTCTTTAAGGCTGCTATACACCATAAGTTAATCCTTTGAGACTGCCTGTCCTTGAGGAACTTCCAAATTTCCTATTGCCCAAAAACGAAGAAAACCTCTCAGCAGAGGGTGGGGCAGCTTGCCCCGGGCGCCAATGGCAGAGGGGAGCCTAATGGTTTCCAAGAATAACAAAATTTGTTTCTGGAGGGGAGGGGGTGCCAATATAGTGTCGCGGCCCGGGTGCAGTTATGTTCGCTACGCCATTGTGTTTATTATTATACCACTGATGTTTATTGGCAACAAATTCTATTAAAACTCGCGGGAAAAATGTATGCATAGAAGTCTATGGTGTAAATAGTAGTAGTAGTGGTTTGGGTAGCACCGATCACAAAATTAATTTTTCATACGAATAATTTTTTAATGGAATTATTTCAGATCACAAAATTAATTTTTCATACGAATAATTTTTTAATGGAATTATTTCAGATCACAAAATTAATTTTTCAAGAGAAACCTTGGGCTATAGATTATGTTAAAAAGCACCAATTATCAGCGAAAGATCAATGGCAAGTCGATTTTACTACCAAAAAATTCATGGATTAAATTTTATAGACGAATATACAGTGGTGCCTCGTATAACGTACTTAATCCGTTCCAGGTGCACGTCCATTAAGTGAAAAGTCCGTTATACGAAACGCATTTTCCCATAGAAATACATGTTAAAACATATAATTCGTTCCGCGGCATAAAATAACCGTACTGTACTATTAAAAAAAGAAATGAAAATGGAGCAGTCACCAATTATACCGGATAATCAGATGTTGTGAGGAGGAGGTGGAGGAACACTTTACACATTCATACAGATACAGACTTTTTACACATTGCAGCGGGTCTCTTTTTATTTGTTTTTTAATCAGAGTCAGATTCAGGAGAGACTACTGGAGCTTGCAGGGTCATCTAATCTTGTTCCATCCTTTGATTTTTGGCAGCTGGCTTCATGAAAAACATGTCCAAGGTGGTCTGTTTCTCTCTCTTCTTCAACACCTGTCGGAAATGACGAGCAAGGGTGTCATTGTAGAGATCATTGATCCTGTTGGCCTCAGCTCTGTTTGGATAACGAGTGTTGGTAAACTCCTTAACCTCTCCCCGTTTGACAAGGAAGTTTTTGTCAACTTTCACTTCTTCTGATGATGTCTTGCTTTGTTTCAATTCAAATCACCTTTCTGTTTATTTAAAAACCATGATTTTCACAACACTTGAATAAATGTAAATACCCTGCACTGAGGTGATGTACGTAATAAACAAGGGAGCAAGCCGAACCTCAACAGGAGCTCTGTACTTCAGATATACTAATAATATATTTTAATAATACTAATATATTATAAAAATAGCAGATTGTCATTGGCAACGGCAAAAGAGTGGAAACATCATTCGCAGAAAGACCGTTTTTCGCCTCACGTAACTGCAGAACGGAAAGTCCGTTATTCGAAGCCAGTCCGTTGCTCGAGTCACGTAACGGCCAAACAGAAAGTCCGTTACTCGCAGCATCCGTTATTCGAAGCGTACGTTATACGAGGCACCACTGTATATTAATAATTCTCAGCCACATCCGATATTAGTACAAATTCTAAACATTATTATCGCAAATTAATTTTATAATTTAATAATTAAAAAGAATTTATTAAACTTTGTCGTATTTTAAGTTGTCATGTTTTAATTTACTTGGATATTAAAACAATAAATTTTTTAAAATGTAGAAGAAAATGATAAAGAGTATCAAGATGTTTTATGAAAACGGAAGAAATGAATTGAGAAGTTTTCTAAATATTAAAATTATTTATAATTTTAATTTACTCGAGAAATTTTTGATCCGAAAATAATTTATAACCTGAAAAATTAATTTATTAGGTTATAAATAATAAAAGTTAATAAGGTTATAGAAAATAATTCTTCCAAACATTCACGAGACATTGTTCTCACACACGTTTAGGTCGGCCTGCGCAGTCTGACACTGCGCCAGGAAAATCAAATGGTTTTTCAATTCTACTCATGTAGTCGGTACAGGTCGCCGAAGCTGTTAAATTGTACCCCATAAATTACCAAGAATTATAAAGGTCAGGCATGCATGATTACTCCTTTGAGAATTAACCTAAAGAATATGGCTGATTCTACTCAGGTGGTCGGTACAGTTCGCCGAAACTGTTAAATTTCCCCCCCCCCACACATCCAGGAATGACTCAAAATCAGGCATACATAGTTACTCCTTTGAGGATTAACCCATGGTGTATAGCAGCCAACTTATATAAATCAAATATCTAAATACTGTATATAAAATTGCTTGTCCTGACTGACTGACTGAATGAATGACTCACTCACTGATTTATCATCGCCCAGAACAGACCGCTTAACCTAAAGAGGTGGAATTTGGTAGACAGTAGGGTACGTCATGGAAACGCACACGAAGAAGGGATTTTTCGAAATTCCTCCGCGAGGGAGAGAGGTAATATTTTAGATGCGATTTTTTGTTTTTATCTGCGTTTTAGTAGGGCCCGNTTTAAAAGTTATTCTGAAATTTTCAAATTGTAAATCAATTAATTTTAAAATTTATGTTGTGTGTGGCAGTGACACTTTTGTTTTTAAGTTATATAGATATACAGATTACTGGCCAAGCTGGCTGGATGGCAACTCTAAAGTTACCCTACATTCTCTAAAATGGGGAAGTGTTAGAACCAACCAAGTGTAATTATCATTGCTCTGATTACACAAAAGAAAAGTCCACTGTGACAGACATCACCTTGTGTGTGGACCAATGTATACTTTCTGCTTTATTGATGTGAAAGTTTCCCATAAACTAATATTTAATTGTTAATATTGTAATTTAAAAATTTTTAACTTTTGAAACAAAAATTAATTTTCTTATAAAATATGGAAGAATTGTTTTTAAGAATCTGAAATTGTGATGAGATTTTCTCCATTTTGATTCTGATTGTCCTATCACTAATTATAAGTCATTTGGAATGTGTACTGCTTTTTGTTGCCTTAGCTATTATCATTTCATTTGTACTTTAAATGTAAATTTGACATTCTTACAATTCTTTTAATGCCTACTCAGTTTGCTTATTGTCTTTCCAGTTTCTTTTTCACAATTTTGCATTTTTTTTTAAAACTAAATAAACATCATAATACTAATTATTTTCTTAGTGTTTATTTTATTCTATATATATATATATGTAGTCTTCTCTATGAAATTGTCATGTTAACATCTATCTCTGAACAATATGGTAAATATAGTAATTTGAGAATTTGTTGTAAGCAACAGTTAGTTCAATTACAACAGTTAGGCCACCATTTTTTAAA